TTATCCAGCGGATATTGGCAATTTGGTCTCTCGTTCCTCTCCCTTTTCTAAACCCAGCTTGAACATCTGGCAGCTCTTGCTCCATGTATTGCTGGAGTCTTCCTTGCAGGATCGTGAGCATTACCTTACTGGCATGAGAAATAAGGGCCACTGTACGGAAGTTTGAGCAGTCTTTCGCATTTCCCTTTTTTGGTATGGGGATATAAGTTGATTTTTTCCAGTCTGATGGCCATTCTTGTGTTTTCCATATTTGCTGGCAAATGGCATGCATCACCTTGACAGCATCATCTTTTAAGATTTTAAACAGTTCAGCTGGGATCCCGTCGTCTCCTGCTGCCTTGTTGTTAGCAATGCTTCTTAAGGCCCATTCAACCTCACTCCTCAGGATGTCTGGTTCTAATTCATTCACCACACCGTGAAAACTATCCTCAATATTATTATCCTTCCTATACAGATCTTCTGTATAGTCTCGCCACCTTCTCTTGATCTCTTCAGCTTCTGTTAGGTCCCTGCCATCTTTGTTTCTTATCATACCAATTTGTTTCTTATCATACATGATAAGAATTTGTTTCTTATCATACATGAGTCTACACTGACCATATACTGATGTTCCAAACTGCATTATATGGCAGTGTATAGATCATGGAATAATGTATACAAAATTCATGTAAAAATGAAATATTTTCAAATGTGAGACAGGACAAAAATATTATTTACTGTCTAAACACATTAAAACCAAGCTAGGTAGCAGCACATGTTGCAAGTCAAAGGCAATCCATGGAAGAAGCAGCCCAGAAGGAGATAAGAAACTTGGAAATAGGGTGAAATCATATTGGAGACTTTAAAAGTGTAAACTTTCTTACGAAAGGAGTTAGCACTTTCCATCTGAACCATCTGAAGGCATATTTGGTTGTGCATTCAGTTGCTCCATATTCATTTGTGCACTCAGATACATTTATATTAATGCCCACTGCATTGCCATTTGACCAAGCATTCAGCAGCACAATCAATGTGCATATTCCCAAATGGCGATATACGTAGCAATTGAAATATAAGATCTTGGATTATATCTCTACCTACAGACACATCTACACTGTAGAATAAATGCAGTTTGACTCCATTTTAACAGGACTCAGTGCTATGGAATTTGGGGAGTTGTAGTTGGGGAGAGAAGGCTAAAGACCTTGGAAAATGACAGTACCCGGGATTCTATAGCATTGAACCCTGGCAGCAGAAGTGGTGTCAAACTGCATTTGTTCTACAGTGTAGATGCACAACGTACCTATGGAAATGTCTGGGTTTATAGAATTAAGAACATAATAAATGAGTGAGCCAGCATGGAAGACTGGGAGATGCTCTGACTTCTCAGGAAACCATTAAAGGATCAGCCTCCTCTGCAAACGAAATACAAAATGGGTGTTTCCCAAAGGTTCTCAGACACTCTTTTAGATAACACTGGAAGCATCATCACCATGTTTTAGCTTACGTGGGCCATTAACAAGACTTGAACATAATCAATTTATTGTGCATTTTCTATTCTTTAAAAGACCAATTCTAGGCTTAAATTGGCCAGCTACCTCTCTGAGGTGAAGATGATAATGATGGTGATGATGACGACAACAACAAGAACAACAAGAACAAGAACAACAACTTTATTTTGTACCCTGCCTCCATCTCCCTGAAGGGACTTGAGTTGGCTTACATATGGCACAAAATGCCTCCAGCCACCCCATCCATCTCCAAGAGGAGATTTTGGAATATTGTGTCCAATTCTGGGCACCACAATTGCAGAGAGATATTGACAAGCTGGAATGTGTCCAGAGGANTTATTATATTCTTGTGGTTGGAGGCGGTCCTTGGGCGAGGGCTCCTCCCTTCGTGGCTTCCCAGCCGCGCGAGAAGGTGAGACACCGACCAGGCCGCGCGCCGAGCCGGGGCCTCGATTAGCAGCTCCAGCCGGGGGGCGTGACGTAGACCCCGGCTTGGCCACCCACCCTTCCCCCCCCCTCCCGCTCAGCACTTCCGGCCGGAGATGCGACGCAGCTGCGACGAGTAGGCCGCCAGCAAAGCCGGGGACTCGAGTATCTGCAGTAGCCGAGGAGTGTGATCGTTTGCCGAGCCCATCCCGCTCGCTTCTCAGCGTCTGATCCTCACGTGCAGGCCGCAAACGAAGCCGCGGACTGGAATAGCAGCCGTAGCTGGGGGCGGGAGGTAAAACCCGGCATCCTCCCCCCTTCAATTCTCCTCAGCGTTTCTTCGTTAGGCCGCAAACGAAGCCGGGGACTCGCGTAGCCCTGGCATCCGGGGACGGTGAGCCCAAACCCGGAAAAAATCCTTCCATCTCGTCATTCCTTATCGTGGTGACTTATTATTATAGAGACGACTAGGCCACAAAAGGATGCTGAAGTAGTGTTGGCGAGTAGGCCTCGAGGGAAGCCGGGGACTCGCGTAGTTGCGCTAGCCGGGGGCGGCGACACCAGAGGCGGCCGGTCCTCCCACGCCAGTCCGGTGCTTTTGGACCTAGACGAAAACAGCGTCTCGTCACCGCGTTGCTCCATTCCTAAAAGTGACTTATTATAGTGACGACTAGGCCGCAAGTGAAGCCTGGGACTCGCGTAACCGCGCTAGCCGGGGCCGGCGACACCAGAGGCGGCCTGTCCTCCCACTCCAGTCCTGTGCTTTTGGACCTAATCGACCACATTTTCGAGAATAGCGTTTCCTTCTCGTCCCCGCGTTGCTCCATTCCCAATAGTGACTTCGTATAGTGACGACTAGGATGCTGAAGGAGTTGAGTAGTGTTGGCGACTAGGCCGCAAGTGGAGCCGGGGACTCGCTTAGCCGCGCTAGCCGGGGGCGGTGACATTAAGGCGGCCTGACCTCCTACTCCAGTCCGGTGCTTTTGAGCCTAGACGACCCCATTTTCGAGAACGGCGTTTCCATCTCGTCTCCGCGTTGGTTCAATCCTAATAGTGACATTATAGTGACGACTAGGATGCTGAAGGAGTTGAGTAGTGTTGGCGAGTAGGCCACAAGTGAAGCCGGGGACTCGCTTAGCCGTGCTAGCCGGGGGCGGTGACTTTAAGGCGGCCTGACCTCCTACTCCAGTCTGGTGCTTTTGGGCCTAGAGGTCCACATTTCGGAGAAGAGCGCTTCCTCTTCGGGGACGCCTCCATGTGGCTCCAGCAGCGGTTGAAGGGCCTCCCTGGGCTGCTGTCGAGCAGCTGGGCCCGGCGCTTGGTGGCCTTCCTGGCCTTCCTGTGTGTGGCCTACTGGTACCTCGGAGGGGCCTTGCCTGGGCTTTGGGCCTGGAGGCCGGGGCAGCCGACGGGGCCGGGCATTTGCCTGCAGGCCGAAACCCGCCATTGGGTTGCGATGAAGGAGCGTGGCGAAGCCTATCTCCTCCCGGCGGACGGCCAGACCCATTTGCCGCCATCTTTGGTGGGCAACGGCTACGTCGTCCTGGACGCCGGCTCGAACCGCCTCTGGCTGACTGCTCCCACGTCTGGCAACGGCCCCTCGTCCACTTCGGCGGCTCCCGTCGACGTCCAAGCTTTGGCCCGGCTCCGTTTAGTCGGCAATGGCGTCAAGGAAGCCCAAGCCACCGCCGTCGTGTTCCGGGACGGCTCCGTCCGGTCGGTGCGCTGCTTCGCGGCCGGCGGTCAAGCCTGCGTCACCGTCCGGGAAGAGGTCCTCGCCCACCGCAGCCGGCCGCACCTGTACGTCCAGCGCTTGACCGTCGCCAACCCCACCGACCGCTGGGTCTCCTTCGAGGTGTCCGGCCTCAACGGCGCCGCTGAGGAGCAACACGCTGACCGCCGCGTCTGGGTGTCCTCCGGCCGGGCCACGTCTTTGTCCAGCTCGGCCTTCTCCTTCGCCGTGGCCTCGGCCGTGAAGGCGCTCTCTGGACGCGTCCAAGTGGGGCCCAAGGCCACCCTGGAGGAGACCGTGCTGACCGCCGTGGTGCGGGGTGCGGCCGAGGGCGGGCGGCCCGAGAAAGACGCCCTGGTCAAGCTGCGGGAGGCCGCCCGGAAGGAGCTGGACGAAGCCTTGCGCCTCCCCATCGAGGACCTCCTGCAAGAGCACCGGCGCGCCTGGGCTGACCTCTTCGTCTCCGGTGAGGACCACGCAGGTGCCAGCCAGGCCGGGTGGTCAAGAGCAATGCCATCATCGCCCTGCAGCTGGACCTTTGTCATCACTATATCATTATTATTATTATTATTATTATTGGGGAGAGCATCATCATCATCATTATTATTATTCAGGAGAGCATTATTATAATATTATTATTAGGGAGAGCATTATATTATTATTATTATTATTATTATTATTATTGGAATTGCATTATTATTATATTATTATTATTAGAGAGAGCATTATTGGAGACAGTATCATTTTATTATTATTATTGATTATTATTATTCGAGAGAGCATTATTGGGGAAAGCATCTTATTATTATTATTATTGGAGAGAGCATCATTATATTATTATTGAAGAGCATTATTATAATATTATTATTAGGGAGAGCATTATTTTATTATTATTCAGTAGAGCATCATTATATTATTATTGGAATGGCATTATTATTATATTATTATTAGAGAGAGCATTATTATTGGGGAGAGCATCATTATATTATTATTGAAGAGCATTATTATAATATTATGATTATATTATTATTATTATTATTATTGGAATGGCATATTATTATTATATATATATATAATTATTATTATTATTGGGGAGAGCATCATCATTATTATTATTATTCAGGAGAGCATTATTATATTATTATTATTATTGAAGAGCATTATTATATTATTATTAGGGAGAGCATTATTTTATTATTCTGGAGAGCATTATTATTATTATTATTATTATTTATTGGAATGGTATTATTATATTATTATTAGAAAGAGCATTATTATTATTGTTATTCAGGAGAGCATCATTGTATTATTATTGAAGGGCATTATTATAATAATATTATTAGGGAAAGCATCATTATATTATTATTACATTATTATTATTAGAGAGAGCATTATTATTGGGGAGAGCATCTTATTATTATTATTGATTATTATTATTATTGGAGAGAGCATCATTATATTATTATTGAAGAGCATTATGATAATATTTTTATTAGGGAGACCATTATTATTATTATTCAGGAGAGCATCATTATATTATTATTGGAATAGTATTATTATTATTATTAGAGAGAGCATTATTATTGGGGAGAGCATCATTATATTATTATTGTTATTATTGGAGAGCACCATATTATTATTATTATTTTATTATTATTATTGGAGAGAGCATCATATTATTATTGAAGAGCATTATTATAATATTAGGGAGAGCATATTATTATTATTGGAATGGCATTATTGTATTATCATTTTATTATTATTGGAATAGCGTTATATTATTATTATTATTATTAGAGAGAGCATTATTATTGGGGAGAGCATCATTATATTATTATTGTTATTATTGGAGAGAGCATCATTATATTATTAAAGAGCATTATTATAATATTAGGGAGAGCATCATTATATTATTATTATTGTTGTTGTTGTTATTATTATTATTAGAATGGCATTATTATTATATTATCATTTTATTATTGTTGGAGAGCATCATATTATTATTACTGGGGAGAGCATCATTTTATTATTATTATTATTATTGGAATTGCATTATTATTATATTATCATTTTTATTATTACTATTGGAATAGCATTATATTATTATTATTGAGAGAGCATTCTTATTGGGGAGAGCATCATATTATTATTATTGGGGAGAGCATCATCATATTATTATTATTGGAATAGCATCATTATTATTATTATTATTATTATTAGAGAGAGAGCATTATTATTGGGGAGAGCATCATTATACTATTATTGAAGAGCATTATTATTATTATTATTGGGGAGAGCCTCGTCGTTTTATTATTCTTATTGGGGAGATCATAATCATCATCATATTTTAAGGAGAGCCTAAGTTTGCAGGCCTGAGTTTGGGGTCCCCTGCCTTATAGGAGACTTGAAGGCCTGTGGTCAAGGACTTCTGCCTTATAGGTCCGCCCTAAGTCTGTGGGCAACTTGGAGTCCCCGATGTACCCAGGCATGAGTTTGGGGTCCCCTGTATTATAGGGCTGCCCTAAGTCGATAGGAAAGTTGGAGGCCCGGATGTGCCAACCCCCCTGACACGTTGTCCCCCCCCCCCCCCCTGTCTCCCAGGCGTGGAGGTGCGGAAGGTGACGGACGCGCACACCCCAGCGGGCGACACGGTCAACCTGACGCTGTACTACGTGCTGTCCACCTCCCCGGCCCCACTGCTGGACCCCTCGTTGGGGCCCGAGGAGCGGGAGCGGATGGAGGCGACTCTGGGCTACGCGGACCCCTGCTTCAGCGGCCATGCCACCATGCACGCGGGGCCACTTTGGCCAGGCCCTCTCTCCTCAGTGGGGCAGGTGCTGCAGCTGGCCGGCCTGTGGCGGCTGACCCTCCAGAAGCGGGGCTGCAAGGGCCTGGTGTCGGCCGGGGCGCACGGCCTGGTGCAGGGCATGGTGCTCAGCTTCGGCGGGCTCCAGTTCACCGAGAACCACCTGCAGTTCCAGGCCGACCCAGACGTGCTGCGCAACAGCTACGCCTTGCGCGGGATCCGCTACAACAAGGACCTGATCAACCTGGTGGTGCGGCTGGACGCAGAAGGGAAGCCTGTCCTGCACGCGGCGGTCGAGGTGCAGGAGAAGCCCGTGCGGCTGTACGCCTGTGAGGGGGGCTGCGCCAACGACCCCGTGGAGCTGACCTCCCAACCGCACGGGCACACCTTCCCCGTCATGGTCACCCGGCCCATCACCCCGCTGCTCTACATCTCCACCGACCTGGTGCACCTCCAGGACCTGCGCCACACGCTCCACCTCAAGGCCATCCTGGCCCACGAGGAGCACATGGCCCAGCAGGACCCCGGACTGCCCTTCCTCTTCTGGTTCAGCATCGCCTCCCTCATCACCCTCTTCCACCTCTTCCTCTTCAAGCTCATCTACAACGAGTACTGCGGGCCCGGGGCCAAGCCGCTCTTCCGGAGCAAGGTCTAGAACCCCTTCGGTGCCCCGGAAGGAAGCGGAACTCCCCCTTCCTTTGGAATTTATGAACTGCAAGTCTGGGGCCAAGCAGCTCTTCCGGAGCGAGGTCTAGAACCCCTTCGGTGCCCTGGAAGGAAGCAGAAATCTCCCTTCCTTTGGAATTGATGGACTGGGCCCGGGGCGAAGCCACTCTTCTGGAACCAAGTCTAGAACCACTTTCAAGCCCCAGAAGGAAGCAGAAATCCACCTTCCTTTGGAATTGATGGACTGCGAGCCTGGGGTCAAGCCGCTCTTCCGGGGCAAAGTCTAGAACCCCTTCGGTGCCCCAGAAGGAAGCAGGGTCCCTTGGTTTTGGAATTGATGTACTGCGGGTTTGGAGCCAAACTGCACTTCCAGAGCAAAGTCTAGAACCCGTTCGCCACTCCGGAATCAGTGCCCCTTCCTTTGAAATTGATGTACTGTGGGTCCGAGGCCAAGCCGCTCTTCTGGAGCAAGGTCTAGAACCCCTTCGGTGCCCCGGAAGGAAGCGGAAACCCTCCTTTCTTTGGAATTGATGGACTGTGGGTCCAGAGTCAACCCACTGTTCCAGAGCAAAGTCTAGCGCCCCGGAAGGAAGCAGCACCCCTTCCTATCGAATTGACGTACTGGACGGCCAAGCTGCCGTTCTGGAGCAAAATCTAGAACCCATTCAGAGCCGTGGAAGCAGCATCCCTCCTTTAGAATTGACGTACTGCTGGCCCGGAGCCAAGCTGCCATTCTGGAGCAAAATCTAGAACCCATTCAGAGTCCTGGAAGCAGCATCCCTCCTTTAGAATTGACGTACTGCTGGCCCAGAACCAAGCCACCGTTCTGGAGCAAAACCTAGAACCCTTTCAGATCCCTTCTCTTGGAATGGGTGGCTAACTTTGGTGGAAGTACAAGACCAACCCCAAATTGCAATGCATCTGTTTGGGGCTCTTTGTTCCGGAACCAAGCCTAGAACCCGTTCCGAGCCCCGGAAGCAGCATCCTTTCCTTTGGAATATACGAAGTCGCTTTGGTTTCCGCCGTGAAGTGAGCGCAAAGTGAACCAGAATCAATCCCAATCTGTTTCAACATGGATGAGAATGTAAACAATGGGAAGGTCAACGGTGGGCATCCATTGTTTGGAGGGCGAAGCAGAACGTGATATTAATACAACTGTTTTCAGGTTCGATTGCATTGGGAAACGTAATGTGCATAACTACTGGAATCCTAGGAATGTGTGCGTCTCATATATATATATATATATGTATATGTATATGTATATGTATATATATATATATGATTCAATTTCCCTCTTGTGCCTTTTCCCCCCACTGATTTATAGCTTCCTCCATTGGCATTTGCACCACATCATGGCTTCCTTTTTTTGCTCTTTGGCCTCGGTTTCCATTTTGTTGTTTCTCCCCGAGGATTTCCTCTTGCCGTTTGATTGTTGGGGTCCTTTTTAAAATACCAAAGGTTTTTGGCTTTGTTTTGATTTTTTTTTTCATAATTAATGAATAAATAAATTTCTGTCAAATCGACATATATCTTACCCTTGTCATTGGGCTGAGAGATAGTGACCTCGAAAACGAGTCATAGGCTCTTCTCTTTCTGCAATACGAGTTGCAAGAGAACGGTAGATACAGGCAATGTTGTGGATGGAGCCATAATAATAATAATAATAATTATTATTATTATTATTATTATTATTATTATTATTATTATTGTGGATGGATACTGTGGGTTTTTTCGGGCTATATGGCCATGTTCTAGAGGCATTTCTCCTGACGTTTCGCCTGCATCTATGGCAAGCATCCTCAGAGGTAGAGAGGTCTCACACCTCTGAGGATGCTTGCCATAGATGCAGGCGAAACGTCAGGAGAAATGCCTCTAGAACATGGCCATATAGCCCGAAAAACCCACAAGAACTGAGTGATTCCAGCCATGAAAGCCTTCGACAATACATAACATTATTATAATAATTATAATTATTATATTATTATAATTATTATTTGTTATATATACACCTAACGACGTAATTATAATCTATATCTATCTATATCTATAATAAAAGTCAGTGTTTGTATGTATGTATGCGGCGGGAGGTGTATGTGGCAGCTTTCTGATTGGCTACCACTTTCACAGGCCACTGTGACCAACACGGGTGACGCACCTGCACCAAACTTGGCACACATAACCCCCATGACCCCCTTTACGTACTGGTGCGGTATGGGGGAGGTAGACCACAGATTATGGGATTTATAGTACTTTCAAACATACCTAATATACATGTATATAATGATATAACATATGTTTTGTACACACATACATGAACACAGTATAATATATAAAATATATGTATTTTTTATGTTACTTTATATACTAGCTTGTGGACTGCCTGGGTTATTTGAGAAAGGAATTGTCTATCAAGGTTGGTCTTTATCAGTTATTTATATGGCTCGCAGTGGTCTCAGGAACTTAGAGAAGGTACTGCGAGTCCCATCATCTGTGGCCCAACCTCCTCGAAAGTGCACCAGGATGGAGAGTGGGTCATGGGGGCTCTGTGTGCCAAGTTTGGTCTTGATCAGTCATTGGGTCAGGGTCGCAGTGGTTAAATACATTAAATGCACATGCTAAATATACAATACTATATTATATATATTAAACATATATATAATCAGAGGCGGCCCTAGGTAATTTTCAACAGTAAGCAAACAGTATTTTGGCGCCCCCCCCCCCCCAACCAAACATTGATATATATTTTCTGTTTGTCGTGGGAGTTCTGTGTGCCATATTTGGTTCAATTCCATCATTGGTGGAGTTCAGAATGCTCTTTGATTGTAGGTGAACTATACATCCCAGTAACTACACTTGCCGCACTTGCTTCCTTGCCTGGCCCGCTTTGGGTCCGGAGGCGTGCCTGAAGACCCCGGCGTGTGCACCAAAAGTCACCTCTTCTCCTGACTTTCTCCTCAGCCATTGGGACCGAGAGAGAGAGAGAGAGAGAGGTGGAGATGCCCACCTTTCCTGAAGGTAGGCGCAAAAACAAAGGAGGGAGCGGAGGTGGGAGATACCTCCAGCCGGAAGGGCTCTCTCTCTCTCTCTCTCTGGTCCCAATGGCTGAAGAGAAAGTCAGGAGAAGAGGCGACTTTTAGTGCGCATGCTGGGGTCTTCAGACACGCCTTCAGACCCGAAGCGGCCTAGGCGTGGAGGCTTCGCCCCTTGGCCCACCCGCAGATTGGGGAGAGGAGAGGAGGCGGGTGGAGCGCCGGGGGATCGGGAAAGGGAGCCGGTCATGGGGAAGGGATCGAACAGGAGAACGATTGAGCGCCGGCTCTGCTCGTGCACCCGGTGGCCGGGTGGAGCAGGAACGAGAGGGGCTAGGCGAGGCTCAAGGGCCCGGCCCCTTTGGGAAGAAGGATCGCCCGGCAGCGAGGCAAGAAAGCCGAGGCTCCCCCGGACTGCTAGGGCTGTTGTGAGCTGAGGGGGCGCTCCTCAAGTGGCGGTCGAGGGGCATTTACAGAGGCGCCTCTGCACCCCTGGCAAAAAAAAGTGTTCTGCGACCGCTTACTTCGCGTAATGGACGAGCCGCCCCTGTATATAATGCTACGTTATATAACATATATAAAATACACATGTTATATTACATACACATTAAATACATACTATTATATTAAATATATATTAAACATTATATATACAATAGAAAACAAACATTTATTACGGTCGCTGACCAGCACAAAGTGGACATATGTTCAATATCCATACTAAATATATAATATTTTATTTAATATATTAAACGCATATACAATGTTATGTTATATATGTATAGTATATCCACTTTAATAGTATATATTTAAACATTTGTAATATACATATAATGTTGAATATATATTTAATATAATAGTAGGTATTAAATATATATTCAACATTTTATATATATATTACAAATATATGCACATATATTAATATATAATACATAATGATATACCCATGTATAAAATGCATGTGTTATATACAAGTATTAAATATATAATATTATATTAAATATATATTAGATATTTATTATATATTATATTAAATATATAATACATATATTATATACATATATATAATATATATAGATTATATATACATATATATTATATATTATATAAAATATATAATACATAAATATATTAATACATATATATAATATATAAGATTATATATACATATATATTATATAAAATATATAATACATAAATTATATTATATACAAATACTATATATAATATATATAAATTATACATACACATGTATGTATGTGTATAAATATATGTATATACAATATAATCTATATATATTATATATAATATTAGTTTAAAAATAATCTATGTATTATATAATATTATATAATATAGATATATAGATTATATTGTATATACATATATTTATACACATACATAGATTATATTATTATATACTTATAACACCAATACTAATAACATGTAAATTAAAAGTTAATCGTTTGGCATTTAGGTTGCATCGATACGGTATACCGGAAGCGTGCTTTGGTACGCAATCTTTGTATTTACATTGAGCAAAAACATCCCTTCTCTCAGCCATTTGGGAGTCTGGATGATCTCAAGGGCGCCCACAGCCTTCTATGATTGGCTCAAAAGGCGGCCGTGTCTCATCTCAAAGAGCTTTTGAATATATATTTATTTCCTCTCCATTGAAATCGAGAAAAGATCAATGTCCCGAGTCTTTGTTTCCTCCGATCCGGCCAAACCGAAACCCGGAAAAGGAGACCCAAACATGGAAGGAAAAGAAGAAGATGCTTCCTGGAAAACCAAAAAGTAAGTACACTTACTTTGAATATGAATTTTTATATATATATACACACACACACACATACATGATCTCAAACGATCAGACGACAGAAAATAAAATTACAAGGGGAAAATATTAAGAGAAATAATTGAAAATATTAAGAGAAAAATAGAAACTATTAATTGGAAAATATTAAGGGAAAAAATAGAAAATATTAAGAGAAAAATAGAAAATATTAATTGGAAAATGTTAAGGGAAAAAAATAGAAAATATTAAGAGAAAAATAGAAAATATTAATTGGAAAATGTTAAGGAAAACAATAGAAAATATTAAGAGAAAAATAGAAAATATTAATTGGAAAATGTTAAGGAAAACAATAGAAAATGTTAAGAGGAAAATGGAAAATATTAATTGGAAAATATTAAGGAAAACAATAGAAAATGTTAAGAGGAAAATGGAAAATATTAATTGAAAATTATTAAGGAAAAAATAGAAAATATTAAGAGAAAAATAGAAAATATTAATTGGAAAATGTTAAGGAAAACAATAGAAAATATTAAGAGAAAAATAGAAAATATTAATTGGAAAATATTAAGGAAAACAATAGAAAATGTTAAGAGGAAAATGGAAAATATTAATTGGAAAATATTAAGGAAAAAATAGAAAATATTAAGAGAAAAATAGAAAATATTAATTGGAAAATGTTAAGGGAAAACAATAGAAAATATTAAGAGAAAAATAGAAAATATTAATTGGAAAATGTTAAGGAAAACAATAGAAAATATTAAGAGAAAAATAGAAAATATTAATTGGAAAATATTAAGGAAAACAATAGAAAATGTTAAGAGGAAAATGGAAAATATTAATTGAAAATTATTAAGGAAAAAATAGAAAATATTAAGAGAAAAATAGAAAATATTAATTGGAAAATGTTAAGGAAAACAATAGAAAATATTAAGAGAAAAATAGAAAATATTAATTGGAAAATGTTAAGGAAAACAATAGAAAATATTAAGAGAAAAATAGAAAATATTAATTGGAAAATATTAAGGAAAACAATAGAAAATGTTAAGAGGAAAATGGAAAATATTAATTGGAAAATATTAAGGAAAACAATAGAAAATGTTAAGAGGAAAATGGAAAATATTAATTGAAAATTATTAAGGAAAAAATAGAAAATATTAAGAGAAAAATAGAAAATATTAATTGGAAAATGTTAAGGAAAACAATAGAAAATATTAAGAGAAAAATAGAAAATATTAATTGGAAAATATTAAGGAAAACAATAGAAAATGTTAAGAGGAAAATGGAAAATATTAATTGGAAATTATTAAGGAAAAAATAGAAAATATTAAGAGAAAAATAGAAAATATTAATTGGAAAAGATTAAGAAAAAATGGCAAATGGAAGATATTAGGAATAAACAAAATGGAGAAATAATGGAAAATATTAAGAGGAAAATAGAAAATATTAAGAGAAAAATAGAAAATATTAAGAGAAAAATAGAAAATATTGGAAAATATTAAGGAAAAAATAGAAAATATTAGGAGAAAAAATGGAAAATATAAATTGGAAAATATTAAGGAAAACAATAGAAAATATTAAATGAAAAATAGAAAATATTAATTGGAAAATATTAAGGAAAAATAGGAGAAAAAGAGAAAATATAAATTGGAAAATATTAAGGAAAACAATAGAAAATATTAAGTGAAAAATAGAAAATATTAATTGGAAAATGTTAAGAAAAAATAGAAAATGTTAAGAGAAAAATAGAAAATATTAATTGGAAATTATTAAGGAAAAAATAGATAATGGAAGATATTAGGAATAAACAAAATATAGAAATAATGGAAAATATTAAGAGAAAAATAGAAAATATTGGAAAATATTAAGGAAAACAATAGAAAATATTAAGAGAAAAATAGAAAATATTAATTGGAAAATGTTAAGGAAAAAATAGAAAATATTAAGAGAAAAATAGAAAATATTAATTGGAAAAGATTAAGAAAAAATGGCAAATGGAAGATATTAGGAATAAACAAAATGGAGAAATAATGGAAAATATTAAGAGGAAAATAGAAAGTATTAAGAGAATAAGTAAAAAAGAGAAAGTATTAAGAGAATAAAAAAATTAGGACAAATAATGAAAAATATTAAGAGAATTAATAGAAAATATTAATTGGAAAAGATTAAGAGGATTAGTAGATATTAATAATTGGAAAGTATTGAGATAATAAATGGAAACTTTGAAAGGAATAGAAAATATTAAGAAAAATAATGGAAAATATTAAGAGAATAAATGGAATAAATTATAATTACTTTTCTATTGAGAGGATCATTCTAAAAACTGTCCTAGAATCAAAAGTATTAAAAAGGCTGATGTTTGATGAAATGGATGGATCAGATAATAATAATATATGTATTAAAATTAAATTTCCATCTATTAATTCAAGATGAGATAAGATGGAGACAACGGAAAATGGTCATGAGGAATTACTGTCATTGTTATTGGCTGTTCTAAAGGTGAGATTAACATGTAACTTGATGCATGTAAAGAGAACGAAATGTAGAAGGTTGGTCAAGGAGATGATAGAGGGAATGTCTCCTACCTTCTCCAGGTGTTGTGGTTCCACCAAGGTGGTGGGACGGATCCTGGCCGCTTGCGCACTCTCCATGTTCACCTTAATGGGGAATATATATATGGATTTAAGCCAGACTTTGCAATCCTGGAGAAATGCAGAGGAGGCTCTAGGTGGCCTTCCATCATGTCAAGACCTTCTTCTCGTCCCCATGATCCGACTCATCCGGGACCAGATGATGCAGAAGGGCGGAAAAGGCAGGGTGTTGATGCTGGAGGAGTTAGCCATCTCCTGCAAAGAGAAGCCCCACCACTGTCGAAATGTTGATTGCCACGTCTTCGTGGAGACGTTGTTAGAGAGGTGGGATTCCACACTGACGTCTGAGAAGGTCCCGGGAAGGCCTGAGATCGTTCTGGAACTTCTAGAAGAGTTCAGACATTCTCAGGAAGACCTCAATGCAATGGGATCCAACCCCGACTGGGCCGATGTGGCCCTGCTAAGGTTGCTCCTCTGGATCCAAGGCACAATGTTGGAATCAATGGAAGATGCTCAAGGCCTATGGCTGCAGGTCTTCAATCCGTACATCATCGGCTCATCAGAAAGCGTCCAGGAATGCGGGGTGGAGAAGAACCTCAGCCTTCTCTTCTCCACTCAACGTTCCTCAAAGGTGGAGAAGAACCTCAACTTTTCCACTCAAAGCTTTTCAGAGATGGAGAAGAACATCAACATTTCCACCCCAAAACAAAGCAACCTTCGCTTCTCCACCCAACGTTCCTCGAAGATGAAGAAGATCCTCAACTTTCCCACCCAACATTCCTCAAAGATAGGGAAAAACCTCACATTTTCCATCCAACAACCCTTGAAGAGGAAGAACCTCCACTTTTTCACCCCAAATCAAAGTAGCCTTCTCTTCTCCACTCAAGATTCCTCAAAGATGGAGAAGAGCCTTAACTTTTCCACCCAAAATTCCTCCAAGATGGAGAAGAACCTTAACTTTTCCACCCGGAATCAAAGTAACCTTCTCTTCTTCGCCCAAAGATCCACAAAGATGGAGAAGAACCTCAACTTTTCTTCCAAGATGGAGAGCCTCAACTCTTCCACCCAACATCCCTTGAAGATGGAGAAGAATCTCAACCTTTCCACCCCAAATCAAAGCAACCTTTTCTCCATCCAAAGTTCCTCAAAGAGGGAGAACCTCAACTCTTCCACCCAACATTCCTTGAAGATGGAGAAGAATCTCAACCTTTCCATCCCAAAGCAAAGCAACCATTTCTCCATCCAAAGTTCCTCAAAGAGGGAGAACCTCAACTTTTCCACCCAATATCTGAACGAACTTCTCTTCTCCACCCAAAGTTCCTCAAAGAGGGAGAGCCTCAATTCCACCCAACATTCCTTGAAGATAGAGAAGAGTCTCAACTTTTCCACCCCAAATCTAAACAACCTTTTCTCCATCCAAAGTTCCTCAAAGAGGGAGAACCTCAACTTTTCCACCCAACATCTGAGCGACCTTCTCTTCTCCACCCAAAGTTCCTCAAAGAGGGAGAACCTCAACTTTTCCACCCAACGTCTGAGCGACCTTCTCTTCTCCACCCAAAGTTCCTCAAAGAGGGAGAACCTCAACTTTTCCACCCAGCATCTGAGCAACCTTCTCTTCCCCACCCAAAGTTCCTCAAAGAGGGAGAACCTCAACTTTTCCACCCAACGCCTGAGCGACCTTCTCTTCTCCACCCAAAGTTCCTCAAAGAGGGAGAGCCTCAACTCTTCCACCCAACATCCCTTGAAGGTGGAGAAGAATCTTAACCTTTCCACCCCAAATCAAAGCAACCTTTTCTCCATCCAAAGTTCCTCAAAGAGGGAGAGCCTCAACTCTTCCACCCAACATCCCTTGAAGATGGAGAAGAATCTCAACCTTTCCACCCCAAATCAAAGCAACATTTTCTACATCCAAAGGTCCTCAAAGAGGGAGAACCTCAACTTTTCCACCCAACGTCTGAGCGACCTTCTCTTCTCCACCCAAAGCTCCTCAAAGAACTTCAATGTTTCCACCCAAGATTCCTCAAAGACTCCCAGCCCTTCCATCCCAAATCAAAGCACCCAACGTTCCTCAACGAGGGAGAAGACCCCCAACTTTCCCAATCCACGCCTGAGCGACCTTCCCATCTCTTTGAAGGACCTGGATTCCCTGACATCCTGTTTACTGGAGAAGACCCGCCAGAGGCTCTCCGGGAAGTCCAGGGAGGTGTTGTCCCTGGTGAGCCTGAAGGTCAGCCTGTGGCTGCTGACAGGGTTGCTCTACCCGGCGGTGGCGTTGTCCTTCGCGGAGATGACCGGCTGGGTCCAGCGCTACGCCTGGCGGCTCAAGCAACGGACGGAGGCCCTCCAACGAGAGAGGCGCCTAGCAGAGGACCTCCTGCACCAGATGCTGCCAAAGTCGGTGGCCAATCAACTGCGGAGGAGGGAGAAGGTCGAGGCCGAAAGCTACGACCAGGTAAGGCTGGCACTGGGTTCGAGTCCCGATACAGAAGAGTCATATATCGAGTCTTAGCTGAAGATCTGCCTAAGGAAGTGAGTGACACTCGCCCCCTTGGACCGTACCATGCGTCTTTGATGCCTTGCGGGCTACTAGATGCACCCTGGGTCTTTTATATGGGGTATTTTACATATAATTAGTGCAATTAGGGACTTCAAGGGAGTCGCCGGGCGCCAAACGAAAACCATCTGAAAGTAATTAAGACAACAAAGAGCCCAACGAACCCCACCCTTTCAAATTATTAATATTGAATATATTATATATATAATATATATATATATATATTAGTATTAGTATATTAGTATTATTACATTACAATATTATTATTAGTATTATGTCATACTATCATATATATATATATAGTTAGCATTATTATACTATACTAATTATTATATTATTTTATCATCAGTATTATTGTCACACTAATTATTATATATTATATATTATTATATATTGTTAGCATTATTATATTATACTAATTATTATATTTTATTAGTACTATTATGTCACACTAATTATTATACATTATACATTATATATATATATATATTGTTAGCATTATTATATACTAATTATTATACTATTTTATTATTAGTACTATTATGTCACACTAATTATTATACATTATACATTATATATTATTATATATATATTGTTAGCATTATTACTAATTATTATATTATTTTATTATTAGTATTATTATGTCACACTAATTATTATATATTATACAATATATATTGTATATATATATTGTTAGCATTATTATATACTAATTATTATATTAATATATTATTAGTACTATTATGTCACACTAATTATTATACATTATACATTATATATTATATATATATATATATTGTTAGCATTATTATATATTACTAATTATTATATTATTTTATTATTAGTATTATTATGTCACACTAATTATTATATATTATATATATTGTTAGCATTATTATATTATACTAATTATTATATTATTATTATCTAAGAGAAGCAGGTGGCAATCATTTAGAGTCTCATCTATGCTGACAATCATGCCATCACTGCTATATTAGTATAGCATAATATATATATGTATATGTGTGTGTGTGTGTGTGTGTGTATATATATATATATATTATAATACTAATAGCATTGTACTATATCGTAAGCTGCAGTATATATAAAATATATTATATTGCAACATTATTAATATTATATATAATATATTAATATTATTACATTACAATGTTATTGTTAGCATTATTATATCATACTAATTATTATATATTATAATATATATTGTTAGTATTATTATATTATACTAATTATTATTATATTATTATCTAAGAGAAGCAGGTGGCAGTCATTTAGAGTTTCATCTATGCTGACGATCGTGCCATCACCGCCATATTAGTATACCACAATATATATAATACACTATCAGTATATTATATGATTATATATCGTACTATATCATAAGCTGAAATATATATAATATATAATATGTTATAATACATTATTATTATATATCATATTATATCATAATATTACATTATAATGTTATTATTAGTATTACTATATCATACTAATTATTATATATTATAATATATTATAATATTATATGATTATGTATAGTACTATATCATAAGCTGAAATATATATAATATATAATATGTTATAATACAACATTATTATTATATATCAGATTATATCATAATATTACATTATAATGTTATTATTAGTATTACTATATCATACTTATTATTATATATTATAATATATATTATCCGTATTATTATATTTTCCTAATTGTTATATTATTATTAGGGTAATATTATTATTAAGAGATCATTTACACAAATGGTGATCATTTACACAAATGACCAGCCACTGCTAGAAGGGACAGAGAGTTTCATCTATGCTGACGATCATGCCATCACCGCTCAATCCGGGAGCTTTGAAGTGGCTGAACAAAAGCATTACTTTCAAACAAAGGGCTGCACAATGCAACAGGAAATAACTCTTTCGAACCCGGAACATATAGTGGGATTGTTCCTCTCTTTCCGGACAGGTGACCATCTTCTTCTCGGACGTGGTGGGCTTCACCGCCATCGCCGCGTCCTGCTCCCCGCTGCAAGTGGTGGAGATGCTCAACGGCCTCTACGTCTGCTTCGACACCCGGATCGAGTCCTACGATGTCTACAAGGTCCTTATGAACCCTACCTTTTGGGGAAGGGGCACCCTAGAGGTCATCCAGTCCAACCACGGCCATTTTAGTAAGGGAAAGGCAGCACAAAATAGATAAGGAAGACAGACAGGAAATGCATCCAAGTCTCCAGGACCAAAGTTACCACCAAGAGAGGTTTTGGAGGTTCTTCATATACATATACATATAAGCTTTGGACAGCAGTGAATGAATGGTGTCTGACTAGATGGCCTTTGAGGGTCCCGTCCAGCTCTGATGATTCCCTTTGACAGGTGGAGACCATTGGAGATGCCTACATGGTGGTGAGCGGCCTGCCCGAGCGCAACGGCGAAAGGCACGCCCATGAAATCGCCCAGATGGCCCTGGACTTGGTGGCCGCCGTCCGACAAGTCTTGGTCCCCCACATGCCGGACAGGAAACTAGAGCTACGGGTCGGCGTTCACACAGGTGAGCCCAAAGACCTATATTGGGGACCACCCCTCCCCAAATCCCCCAACCGCCCCTTGACACCAGCCTTCCTTCCTTCTTGATGCAGGGCCTTGTGTCGCCGGCGTTGTGGGGCACAAAATGCCCCGCTATTGTCTCTTTGGGGACACGGTCAACACCGCTTCTCGGATGGAGTCCACCAGTTTACGTGAGTAGCGAGAGAAGTTCTCGTTTTTGTCAAAGCCTTGATATGGTTCCTCCAACTTGGAAGACTCTTGGGTAGTCTTAGATGCTCTTGACTTCCATGGGAAAGTCTTGGGTGTCATGGGAAGCTCTTGGATGCCATAGGAGATACTTGGGTGTTCTTGTGTTCACAGGAAAGTCTTGGGTGCCATTGGAGACTCTTGGGTGCAATTAGAAGTCCTTGAGTGTCATACAAAGCTCCTGGGTGTGTTGGAGACTCTTGGGTGCTATCAGATGCCCTTGACTTCCATGGGAAAGTCTTGGGTGATACTGGAGACTCCTGGATGCTCATAGAAGCTCTTGGGTGCCATGGGAAACCCTTGGGTGCCATAGGAGAGTCTTGGGTGCTATTAGAAGTCCTTGAGTGTCATGCAAAGCTCCTGGGTGTGTTGGAGACTGTTGGGTGACATAGGAGACTCTTGGGTGCTATTATTTATTATTTATTTATTTATTTTACTGCATTTATTGACCGCCGCTCTCAGCCCTAGGGCGACTCGCGGCGGTGCACAACATATAAAAACAGTTTACAAAAAGGGCAAAACAGGGAATCAATACAACAATAATACAATATAATCTAGTTACACTAAATAATCCACTCCGTCACATCATAGAATCATAACCAATATCGTAATCCGTATTCCGTTCCAGTTGTCAATTACCAGTTGCCGTAGCGCTCAGTTAAATGCCTTCTCAAATAGCCACGTCTTCAGGCTCTTACGGAAGGACAGAAGGGAGGGCGCCTGTCTGATGTCAGCAGGGAGGTCGTTCCACAGCCGGGGGGCCACCACCGAGAAGGCCCTTTCTCTCGTCCCCGCCAGACGTGCCTGTGAAGCAGGCGGGATCGAGAGAAGGGCCTCCCCAGACGATCTCAAGGTCCTCGTGGGCTCATAGGCCAAGATGCGGTCCGAAAGGTATTTTGGGCCGGAACCGTTTAGGGCTTTGTAGGATAACACCAGCACCTTAAATTGGGCCCGGTAGCAAATCGGCAGCCAGTGGAGCTGGAACAGCAAGGGCGTTGTATGCTCCCTGCGTCCCGCTCCTGTTAGTAACATGGCTGCCGCGCGCTGATGCCCTTGACTTCCATGGGAAAGTCTTGGGTGATATTACAGACTCCTGGATGCTCGTAGAAGCTCTTGGGTGCCATGGGAAACCCTTGGGTGGCATAGGAGACTCTTGGGTGCTATCAGATGCCCTTGGGAAAGTCTTGGGTGATATTGGAGACTCCTGAGTGCTCATAGAAGCTCTTGGGTGCCATGGGAAACCCTTGGATGGCATAGGAGACTCTTGGGTGCTATTAGATGCCCTTGACTTCCATGGGAAAGTCTTGGGTGATACTGGAGACTCCTGGGTGTTCATAGAAGCTCTTGGGTGCCATGGGAAACCCTTGGGTGACATAGGAGACTCTTGAACGCTATCGCAGACTCTAGGGTGCTGTTAGAAGATCTTGAGTTCCATAGGAAAATCGTATATGCCATTGGAGATTCTTGGGTGTCATAGGATACTTTTGGGTGACATTGGAGACTCTTGGGTGTTATTAGAAGCTCTTGAGTTCTATGGGGAAATGGTGGATGCCATGGGATACTCTTGGTTGCTATTAGAAGCCCTTGAGTGCCATGGAAAGCTTTTGAGTGCCACAAGAGACTCTTGAGAGCCATAGATGACTTGGGTGCTATCAGAAGCTCTTGTGCCCCATGGGAAAGTCTTGGGTGTCATAGCCGGCTCTTGGGTACTATTGGGTGTTACATGGGAAAGTCTTGGATGCCTTTGGAGACTCTTAAAGGCTATAGGAGACTCTTGGGTGCTATTAGATGCCTTTGAGTTCCATGGGAAAGTCTTGATTACCATTGGAGACTCTTGGGTGCTATCAGAAGCTATTGACTTCCATGAGAAAGACTTGGATGCCACTGGAAACTCTTGAAGGCCATAGGAGACTCTAGGATGCTATTAGAAGCTTTTGTGTTCCTGAGAAAGTCATGGGTGCCATTGGAGACTCTTGAAGGCCATAGGAGACTCTTGGGTGCTATTAGATGCCTTGAGTTCCATGGGAAAGTCTTTATTACCACTAGAGACTCTTGGGTGCTAGCAGAAGCTGTTGACTTCCATGAGAAAGTCTTGGATGCCATTGGAGACTCTTGAAGGCCATAGGAGACTCTAGGAAGCTATTAGGAGCTCTTGTATTCCATGAGAAAGTCATGGATGCCATTGGAGACTCTTGGGTGCTATTAGAAGCCCTTGACTTCCATGGGAAAGTCTTGGTTGATTCTGGAGACTTCTGGGTGTTCATAGAAGCTCTTGGGTGCCACAGGAAACCCTTCGGTGCCATAGGAGACTCTTGGGTGCAATTATATGCCCTTGACTTCCATGGGAAAGTCTTGGATGATACTGGAGACTCCTGGGTGTTCGTAGAAGCTCTTGGGTGCCATGGGAAACCCTTGGGTGCCATAGGAGAGTCTTGGGTTCTATTAGATGCCCTTGACTTCCATGGGAAAATCTTGGGTGATATTGGAGACTCTTGAGAGCCATAACAGACTCTTTGGTGGCATTAGTAGCACTTGAGATCCATTGGAAACCCTTGGGTGGCATAGGAGACTCTTGGGTGCTATTAGATGTCCTTGACTTCCATGGCATTAGAAACCCTAGAATGCCATGGAAAGCCCTTGAGGGACATTGGAGACCATTTGAGACTATGGAAAGCTCTTGAGTGCCTCATCTTCTGTCTAGCTGGAGGTTTTGTTTAGCAGCATAACAACAACAACAATAACAACAACAACAAATTGGATTTCTACCCCCTTTGGATGACAGTAAGGTATTTCTTATTTTTCAATGTCATCCACAGCTCAGAAGATTCATATCAGTTCAGCCACATATTTGGCACTGTTGGAGGACAATGCTTATGAGATGGAGCCGAGAGGGGAGATCGAAGTGAAGGTGAAAACAGGGTTCAAAGGCACTGAGTGAGCTTGGGCGAGTCGCACTCTCTCAGCCATCATAACCAATTGGCGCCCGGTTTCCCTCCTGAGCAGGGCAAAGGGAAAATGCAGACCTACTGGCTCCTGGGGAGCAAGAACCACAGCGTCCAGAACGACAGCCTGGTCTGCCACTGGAAGCCAGGCCTCTCCCAGGAAGTGGCCAAGGGGGAGCGGAGCCGGACCTCAGTGCGCCAGGTGGGTCACCCAATGGGACGAACGTGGACCCTCCATGCTCAGACTCAACAAGGGCTGGGAATTCCTTTTGGCACTTCGATGCCATGGGAAAGTCTTGGGTGCTATCAGAAGTCCATGGGAAAGTCTTGGAGACTTGTAGTGCTGGAGACTCTTGAGAGCTATCGGAGAGTCTCGAGTACCATAGGAGTGTCTTGGGAACCCTAGGAGACTCTTGAGTACTATCAGAAGCCATGGGAAAGTCTTGAGAGCCATAGGGAACTCCTGAGGGCTATTGGAGAGTCCTGGGTGCTAATAGAAGCTCTTGAGTGCCATGGGAAAGTCTTGGGTGCCATTGGAGAGTCTTGAGTACTATTGGAAGCTCTTGCATGCCATGGAAAGGTCTTAGATGCCATAGGAGACTCGTGGGTGCTATTAGAAGCTCTTGAGTGCCATTGGAGATTATTGAGATCCATAGGAGACTCTTGGGTGCTATTAGAAGCCCTTGAGTGCCATGGGAAAGTCTTGCGTGCCATTGGAGATTCTTGAAAGCCATTGGAGCCTCTTGGGTGCTATCAGAAGCCCTTGAGGTCCATGGAAAACTCCTGGGTGCCATTGAAGAGCCTTGAGTGCTACTGGAAGCTCTTGAGTGTCATGGGAAGATCTTGGGTGCCATAGGAGACTCTTGAGAAACACAGGAGTCTTTTGGGAGCTATCCGAAGCCATTGAGTACCATGGAAAGCTCCTGGATGACATTGGAGGCTCTTGAGAGCCATTGGAGACTCTAGGGTACTATTAGAAGTTCTTGGGGGCCATGGAAAGCTCCTAGGTGTCATTGGAAACTCTTGATAGCCATAGGACACTCTTAGGTGCCATTGGAGAGTCTTGGGTGCTATTGGAAGCCCTTGAATACCATGGGAAAGTCTTGGGTGTCTTTGGAGACTCTTGAATGCTACGAGAAGCTCTTGAGTGCCGTGGTGAAGGCTTGGGTGCCACTGAAGACTTTTGAGAACCATAGGAGACTCCTGGGCACTATTAGAAGCCACTGAGTGCCATGGAAAGCTCCTGGGTGCCATTGGAGGCTCTTGGGTGCCATTGGAGACTCCTGGGTGCCATGGACAGTCTTGAGTGCTATTGGAAACTCTTGAGTGCCATGGAAAGGTCTGGGGTGCCATTGGAGATTCCTGGGTGCTATCAGATGCTCTTGAGTTCTCTTGGAAAGGTCTTGGGTGCCATGGAAAGCTCTAGAGTACCCAAGGAGACCCTTGGGTGCCATTGGGAACTCCTGACTGCTATTAGAAGCTCCTGAGTGCCATAGGAGACTCTTGGGGTGCTATTAGAAGCTCTTGAGTGCCATGGGAGACTCTTGAGTGCTATTAGAAGCAATTAGAAGTTCTTGAGTGCCATAGAAAGTTCTTGAGTACCATGGAAAGCTCTTGAGTGCCACAGAAAAGTCTGGGGTGCCCTTGGAGATTCCTGGGTGCTATCAGACGCTCTTGAGTTCTATTGGAAAGGTCTTGGGTGCCATGGAAAGCTCTAGAGTACCAAAGGAGACCCTTGGGTGCCACCGGGAACTCCTGACTGCTATTAGAAGCCCTTGAGTGCCATAGGAGACTCTGGGGTGCTATTAGAAGCTCTTGAGTGCCATGGGAGACTCTTGAGTGCTATTAGAAGCTATTAGAAGTTCTTGAGTGCCATAGAAAGTTCTTGAGTACCATGGAAAGCTCTTGGGTGCCATGAAAAGGTCTTCAATCCAAGGAAAGTTCTCTTGAGTGCCATTGGAGAGTCTTGACAGCCATAGGCGAGTCTTGAGGGGCATATGAAGCTCTTGGGTGCCATTTGAGACTTCTGGGTGCTATCAGACACCCTTGAGTTCTATTGGAAAGGTCTTGGGTGTCATGGAAAGCTCTAGAGTAGCCAAGGAGACCCTTGGGTGCCATAGGAGACTCTTGGGTGCTATTAGAAGCTCTTGAGTGCCATCGGAGACACTTGAGTGCTATTAGAAGCTATTAGAAGTTCTTGAGTACCATAGAAAGTTCTTGAGTACCATGGAAAGCTCTTGGATGCCATGAAAAGGTCTTCAATCCAAGGAAAGGTCTCTTGAGTGCCATTGGAGAGTCTTGACAGCCATAGGCGAGTCTTGGGGAGCATCTGAAGCTCTGAGGTGCCATTGGAAACTCCTGGGTGCTATTAGACGCTCTTGGGTTCTATTGGAAAGGTCTTGGGTGTCATGGAAAGCTCTAGAATACTAAGGGAGACCCTTGGGTACAATTGGGAACTTCTGAGTGCTATTAGAAGCCCTTGAGTGCCATAGGAGACTCTGGGGTGCTATTAGAAGCCCTTGTGTGCCATAGGAGACTCTGGGGTGCTATTAGAAGCTATTAGAAGTTCTTGAGTTCCATGGAAAGTTCTTGAGTACCATGGAAAGCTCTTGGGTGCCATAGAAAGGCCTTCAATCCAAGGAAAGGTCTATTGAGTGCCATTGGAGAGTCTTGACAGCCATAGGCGAGTCTTGAGGGGCATATGAAGCTCTTGGGTGCCACTGGAGACTCCTGGGGCTTATCAGAAACTCTTGGATGCCATGGAAAGTCTTGGGTGCCATGGGAGACTCTTGAGTGCTATTAGAAGCTACTAGAAGTTCTTGAGTGCCATGGAAAGCTCTTGGGTGCCATAGAAAGAACTTCAATCCAAGGAAAGGCCTCTTGAGTGCCATTGGAGAGTATTGACAGCCATAGGCGACAGCCATATGAAGCTCTTGGGTGCCCTTGGAGACTCCTGGGGCTTATCAGAAGTTCTTGGGTGCCATGGGAAAGTCTTGGGTGCGATAGGAGTCTCTTGGATGCCATTGGAGCTGCCTGGGTGCCACAGAAAGACTCCTGGATACCACAGAAGTCCCTTAGATGCCATTGGAGATCCTTGGGTGCTATGGGAGCCTCTTCTTGGGTGCCAAGGGCCTTTTCTTCCCAGTCCTTGGGGAAAGAGGACCTCCTCTCTTGATGTTCCCTTCTGCATCTGTGACATCCTAACCCATGCTTCCTGTGCTTCTTGTCCACAGCCGTCCCAAGAGGAGAAGCGAGTGCCGGATTTGCTGGTGCTCCCCAACAGATCGGAGGAAGCGGCAGGGATATTGCCAGGTTTTGTGGGTGAAGAGTGTGGTGGCCTTTAGAGTGCTACGAATCCCTTGTTTTTGGTCTCGGAAATCCCTCCTAAAAGCCACTAGATGTCACCAAAGCCTTAGCTGGACCAGTAGATGGTAGCGCTGGAGCGACACTTCCCAAATGTCCCCGTTCCAACCTACATACACATTTGGCTTCAGAGCCGACCTCGTTTGTAACTGGGGGACTGCCTGTATTTACTTTCTTAACATACGGAATGGCTTTGGTATCCGACGGATGTGTACGTGGCTTTCCATATCTATCTCTATCTCTCATTCTCTCTCTCTTTGGGAATGGCCCTAACTGGACGTGCCGCAGACCCGAGGTATTTTAATGGCCGCTGTCAGCGCCGACACGTTCGCAAGCCTCACACTTCGGGGAAAGAGCGATAAGAGGGCCGTGCGGACAGGACAGGACGCCGCCAAGCTAACCCTGATAAGGCCGCGCACGGACACGGCGGTGTTCACACTTCAACAGCCATACCAAAAAGAGACTCGGTTTCCCGGAAAAGTCTCCGAAGGGAGGCAGGCCTGCTCTGGGTTTGAGTCCGAACTTGAAAGGACAAATGGCACAAAGGGTTCTAACACTAATATGCACTCCCAAGATCTGAAGTGCTGCTTTCCCCATATATTTATACACACATATACACATACATACACACATACACACATATACACAAATATACATATATACATGCATATACATACACATACATATACACACATACTGACATACTCTATATAAATATACATACATATACATATACACATGCATATACTTACAGATATACATACACACGCATATACATACACACATAATACTATTCTACTCTGTATAAATGTATATACACATACATATACATATGCACATGCACACACATATACACACATACACATACATACACACGTGAATATACACACACATATACACATACTAATATACTCTATATACATATATATACACATACACATGCACACACTTACACACATGCATGTATACATATACATGCATATACATGCATATACACATACATACATATACACACATACTGACATTATACTCTATATAAATATACATATATATACATATGCACATGCATACACTTACATATATACATATACATACAGACGCATATACATACACACATACTATTATACTCTGCACACACATGTACATGCATACACATACATACACACGTGCATATACACACATGTATGTATATGTATATATATTTATATAGAGTATAATGTCAGTATGTGTGTATATGTATGTGTGTATATATGTATATGTATGTGTATATGTGTATGTGCATGTGTGTATGTATATACATTTATATAGAATATATTAGTATGTGTGTATATGTATATGTGTGTACTAATATACTCTATATAGATATATATACATACACATGCACACACATACACACATGCATATATCCATCTATATTCATATACATGCATATACACATGCATGTACATGCATATACACATACATATACACATACTCTATAAATATATGTATACATACACATGCACACTTACATACACATGCATATACATACACACATGCATATATACATGCATACACACATACATACATATACTAATATAACACTCAATATAAATATATATTTACATACACATGCACACAAATACACATACATGAACATATATATACATTCACAAACAAATACATGCCTATACATACACATAAAAAGGTAAAGGTTGTCCGCTGACATTAAGCCCAGTCATGTCTGACTCTGGGGTGTGGTGCTCATCTCCATTTCTAAGCCGAAGAGCCAGCATTGTCCATAGACACCTCCAAGGTCATGTGGCCGGCATGACTGCATGGAGCGCCGTTACCCTCCCGCCGGAGCGGTACCTATTGATCTACTCACATTTGCATGTTTTCGAACTGCTAGGTTGGCAGAAGCTAGGGCTGACAGCGGAAGCTCACGCCGCTCCCCGGAATCGAACCTGCGACCTTTCGATCAACAAGCTCAGCAGCTCAGTGCTCAGTATGTATGTATACATTAGAGGTCCTTGAGTGCATATACACACATAGTAATATTATACACACACACATACTCACACACACGTATATACATAAACACATATATGTATATACGTGTAAGCCGCACCGAGTCACTTGGGGAGATGGTACAAATAAAGTTTTTTAAAATTATTATTATTATTATTATTATTATTATTATTATTATTATATACTACTACTACTATTATACTCTATATACATATACATAGGTAAAGGTAAAGGTAGTCCCCTGACATTAAGTCCAGTTGTGTCTGACTCTGGGGTGTAGTGCTCATCTCCATTTCTAAGCCGAGGAGCCAGCGTTGTCCGTAGACACCTCCAAGGTCATGTGGCCGGCATGACTGCATGGAGCGCCGTTACCTTCCCGCCGGAGCGGTACCTATTGATCTACTCACATTTGCATGTTTTTGAACTGCTAGGTTGGCAGAAGCTAGGGCTGACAGCGGAAGCTCATGCCGCTCCCTATTATTACACTCCTATTCAACACATTTTGTATACATTTCGGGCCCACGTATGAAGCTGTTAAAGCATTTCCGAATTCTGTTTTGGGGAAATTCTTGGGAGGAAGAAGAGAAGGGGAAGAAAGCTCATTGAGTGGATACCGAGGACCGCTTGCACGTTGGCCTATGGGATCTCCATCATCCACGGCCATGACCTCAGCGCCAAAGACTGTCAAGATCCCTTCCTTATCGAGTGGACCGGAGGAGAGGTCACCTCGAACTCGGCTCCCGGACCCCCTGCGCCCTTGCCCCACATGCCTGGCCCTCCCATTGGCCAGTGGTGAGCGCATCCGGCTACTGGTTGGCACATTCCCCACTCAAGGGTCCCCTTCCCAAAAGCCCAGGCGCCTCGGAGGTGTCTCTCTCTCTCTCTCCCCGCTAATTTTAGCCCCTCCGGAGGGGAAATCAAGGCGACACCTTCTGCAAATAGACACACGGTCAGGGCATGGCTCTCGCTCGCTCTCTCGCTCTCAAGAGAGAGGGAATGCCTCCCATACCAGGGGGTGGGGTGGGGTGGGGGTCTGGAAAGAGAAACAGAGGGCATGGGGTTGGACTAGGTGGCCTTTAGGGCCCCTTCTGTCCATCTATTCAAGTTGGGATGAAAATGGGTTGGACTAGATAGCCTTTGAGGACCCATATAGATAGGTAGGTTTTGTTAGAGTTCTGAAAATTTCACCACCAGAACTTTAGAAACACTTTAGAAGCAAAGCACCAGCGCCCTCTAGTTTTGTAAATACTTTAGAACCTCTTTGTTGGAGAAAGGCATGAAAAAGGGTTGGACTAGATGGCCTTTAGGGTCCCTTCTGTGTATCGATCTATCTATTCAAGTAGACATCAACATGGGTTGGACTAGATGGCCTTTGGGGAACCATATAGGTAGATAGGTAGGTAGGGAGATAGATAGGTAGATAGATAGATAGATAGATAGATAGATAGATAGATAGATGATAGATATTTTGGAGGCATCTTTGTTGGAGAAAGGCATGGTAAAGGGTTGGACTAGATGGCCTTCAGGGTCCCTTCTGTCTATTGATTTATCTATTCAAATAGACATCAATATGGGTTGGACTAGATGGCCTTTGGGGTAGGTAGGTAGGTAGGTAGGTAGGTAGATATTTTGGGGGCATCTTTGTTGGAGAAAGGCATGGTAAAGGGTTGGACTAGATGGCCTTTAGGGTCTCTTCTGTCTATCTATGTATCTATTTAAGTAGGCATGGTAAAGCGTTGGACTAGATGGCCTTTAGGGTCCCTATCTATCTATCTATCTATCTATCTATCTATCTATCTATCTATCTATCTATCTATCTATCTATCTAATCAAGTAGGCATGAAAACAGTTGGACTAGATGGCCATTAAGGTCCTATCTATCTATCTATCTATCTATCTATCTATCTTCAAGTAGGCCTGGTAAGGGGCCGGTCTAGATGGCCTTTAGGGTCCTATCTATCTATCTATCTATCTATCTATCTATCTATCTATCTATTCAAGTAGACAACAAAATGGGTTGGACTAGATGTCCTTTGGGGACCCATAGGTAGAAAGATATTGTGGGGGTATCTTTGTTGGAGAAAGGTATGGTAAAGGGTTGGACTACATGGCCTTTATGGGCCTATCTATCTATCTATCTATCTATTCAAGTAGGCATGAGAAAAGGTTGGACGAGATGGCCTTTAAGGTCCTATCTATCTATCTTCAAGTAGGCATGGTAAGGGGCTGGTCTAGATGGCCTTTGGGGTCCTATCTATCTTCAAGTAGGCATGGTAAGGGGCTGGTCTAGATGGCCTTTGGGGTCCTATCTATTTATCCAAATAGGCATGAAAAGGGGTTGGACTAGATGGCCTTTAGGGTCCCATCTACCTATCTATATACAGGTATTTTCTGTTATTATTTCACCAATAATGAAATAATAATGAGAGTGCTTTGCTTCTAAAGTGTTTCTAAAGTTCCGGTGGTGAAAATTTCAGCACTCTAACAAAACTTTCAAAATTTCGTTATAAATGGCAGTTCCTCATTGGTTCTGTCATAAAAATCGCCATTAACGAAATAATAATATCTATCTGTTTTCAGGTATTTCCTGGGTCTATCTCTCGGAGAGATAAATGCACGGAGAAAGGGGTGGATTAGATGACCTTTAGAGTCTCTTCCGACTTATGGATCCTACATTTTCTGGGCTTATTTCTTGGAGCGAGAAAAGCTTGGGTATGATAAATGGGAGCCTTTTAGAGATAGTCACAATAATAACAACAACGACAATAATACCATCATAATAATACAAGAATAATAATATACCCAAGGCGGATAATAATAATAATAATAATAATAATAATAATAATAATAATAATAATATACCCAAGGCAGATAATAATAATAATAATAATAATAATAATAATAATAATAATAATAATATACCCAAGGCAGATAATAATAATAATAATACATAATAATAATAATAATAATAATAATATACCCAAGGCAGACAATAATAATAATAATAATAATAATACAAGAATAATAATATACCCAAGGCGGATAATAATAATAATAATATACCCAAGGCGAACAATAATAATAATAATAATAATAATATACCCAAGGCGGACAATAATAATAATAATAATAATAATAATAATAATAATATACCCAAGGCAGATAATAATAATAATAATACAATAATAATAATAATAATAATAATAATAATATACCCAAGGCGGACAATAATAATAATAATAATAATAATAATAATAATAATAATATACCCAAGGCAGATAATATAATAATAATAATAATAATAATATACCCAAGGCAGATAATAATAATAATAATACACTAATAATAATAATATACCCAAGGCAGACAATAATAATAATAATAATAATAATAATAATAATAATACAAGAATAATAATATACCCAAGGCGGATAATAATAATAATAATAATAATAATAATAATAATAATAATACAATAATAGTAATAATATACCCAAGGCGGACAATAATAATAATAATAATAA